ATTAAAAATCCAGAAATAAACCCTCACATTTACAGTCAAATGATTTTTGACAAGTGTGTCAACACTAATCAATGGGAAAATGACACTTTACTCAACAGTACTGGGACAACTGCATATCCACATGCAAAAAAAATGTCACTGGATCCCTAACTTCATATCATATACAAAAATTAACTAAAAATGTATCATAGACCTAAATGTCAGAGATAAAAGTATAAAACTGTTAGAAGAAAACTCAAAAATAAACCTTGGTTTCCTAGTTTTTTTTTTTTAAGATTTTTATTTATTTGAAAGACAGAGTTACAGAGAGAGGTAGAGAGAGAGAGGTCTTCTATCCACTGGTTCACTTCCCAGATGGCCGCAACGGCCAGAGCTGCGCCAATCCAAAGCCAGAAGATTCTTCCGGGTCTCCCACATAAGTGCAGGGGCCCAAGGACTTGGGCCATCTTCTATTGCTATCCCAGGTCATAGCACAGAGCTAGATCGGAAAAGGAGTGGCCGGGACTAGAACCAGAGCCTATATGGGATGCCGGCGCTTCAGGCCAGGGCGTTAACCCATTGTGCCACGGCACTGGCCTGGTTTCTTAGTTTTTTTTTTTTTTTTTTTTTAAAGTTAGACAGACAGTGAGAGAGAGAGAGAGAAACAGAGAGAAAGGTCCTCCCTCCGCTGGTTCACTCCCCAAATGGCTGCCACGGCCAGCATCCAAAGCCAGAAGCCAGGTGCTTCCTCCTGGTCTCCCATGCGGGCGCAGGGGCCCAAGCACCCGGGGCCATCCTCCACTGCCCTCCTGGGCCACAGCAGAGAGCTAGACTGGAAGAGGAGTAATCGGGACTAGAACCCGGCACCCATTTGGGATGCCGGCATCACAGACGGAGGATTAGCCAAGTGAGCCATGGCACCGCCCCTCCCACCCCCCGTTTCCTAGTTTTTTAGGCAAAGACTTCTTAGATATGACAAAAACAAAAGCAACAAAAGAAAAAAAATAAACTGTGCTTTAATTAAAAATTTTGTGTTCCAAAAAACCATAATCCATAATGTGAAAACTCACAGAATGGGAGAAAATATTTGCAACCATATCATAAGGAACTTTTACTTAGAATATATAAGGAACTCTTGCAATCATTTAAAAAAGATCCATGGGACCGGCACTGTGGTACAGTAGGCTAAGGCTTCCCCTGCAGCACCTGCATCCCATTAGGGCACAGGTTTGTGTCCTGGATGCTCCTCTTCCAATCCAGCTCCCTGTTAATGGCCTGGGAAAAGCAGCAGAAGATGGCCCAAGGGTTTGGGCCTTTGCCACCCACGTGGGATACTCAGAAGAAGCTCTTGGTTTCAAGCTGGCCCAGCCCTGGCCTTTGTGGCCTTCTGGGGAGTGAACCAGTGGATGGAAGAGCTCTCTCTGTTTCCCCCTCTCTTTGTAACTCTGACTTTCAGACAAATAAAGAAATCTTTAAAAAAAAAAGACAAGAATTTTAAAAAAAGGACCTGAAGAGATATTTCTCAAACAAGATATAACATACAAATTTTTGACCAATAAAGACATGGAAAGATATTCAATATCATTTGTCAGGGAAAAACAAATTAAAAGTGCAGTAAGATACCATTTCATACTAACTAAGATGGCTACAACTCAAAGGGACAGACAATAATAACAGTTGGTGAGAAACTAGAACTAACCATGCTGTGTGGAATGTAAAATGGTGTTGTTTCTTTAGAAAACAGTATAGCAGTTCTCCAAAATGTTAAATACAGTTTCCACTAGTATACAAATTCTGCACAGCAGCATTATTATAATAGCCAAAAAATGGAAACAATTCCAAATGTCCATCCACTGATGAGTGGGTAAATAAAATATGGCAGGTTACTACAGCTGAACATTATTTGGGAATAAAATGTATATCAACAATACATGGATGGACCTTGAAAATATGATACATGAAAGAAATGAGTCAACAAAAGAACATAGATGCAGGTGTTTGGCCTTAGCAGTTGAGATATCTGCATCCCATACTGGAGTGCCTGGTTTGAGTCTGTGTTCCACTTCCAGTTCTAGCTTTCTGCTAACATATATTCTAGGAGGCAGCAGGTGATGGCTGAAGAAACTGTGTTCCTGCCACTCATGTGGGAGACCTAGATTGCAGATGGATGCAACAGCCATGGCTGGGCCAAGTTGAACTGGGAGCCAAGAGTTTCACCTGGGTCTCCCACATGTGTGGCAGGGACCCAGGCACATGGCCATCTTGTGCTTCCTTTCCCAGGCTGTTAGCAGGGAACTAGATGGGAAGTAGAGCAGTCAGGACCTGAAGTGGCACCCATAAGGGATGCTAGCAGTGCAGCTGGTGGCTATACCCGCTCCATCACTACACAGGCTCCATAGATTCACTTTTTAAATTCATTTGTAATTTACGTTAGTGTACGGTGTGAGCAGTGGAATAATTTCTGACTTTCATTTTGTCCTACAATACTTGAGCAAAGCCTGCTTTTATGATTTTAGTCTGTGCATATATATTTATTGATTCATTCATTTTAATAAAAATTATGCAATACTGTAAGGTTAGGGGATGCTTTATTGCATTTTAGAAAATAAAAAATTCCATTCTGACAGAATGAAAATCATACTGTGACCTTCTGTATTACTACCATTAAGTACTCTCAAAGACTTTCTGCATTTTTCCAACTATTGGAATAAACTACATCCTGTCTTTCTAGTTGCGCCAAGAAAAATAAAATTAAACCATAGATAACTAGCTTGTGGGTTAAATATGTTTATTAATTAAAGTTAGAGTTAAAGAGAATGAATTAAGACAAAATGGGGGCCTTACACTGGATAAGCACTCAACATCTTTTTTAACTGAAATTTAATTGGCATGATTCTTTGGCTAGTTCTTGTTGCTTTGGAAAAAGCAAAAGGAATTACAGTCTCTGAAGTTCAATTCTGAAAATGCACTAGTATTATAATATAATAATTTTATCAATATTAAATGAATTCTTTCTCATATTGACATTATGTGATAAGTGTGTTCTGGTATCTTCAGGAAAAAATTAAATGACTGAATCAGTAGCACAGCTAGAACTTATACCAGCCAGAAACTAATACCAAAGCTTACTGTATTACCTAGAGGAAAATAGTTATGCAAATAATTTAAGTATTATTTTAATTCTCATCTACTATGTAGTAAGTTCTAAAGAAATTTTCAAAAAGACTAAAAGTTTCAAAATGAGAAAAAGTGGCAGATTGTAAATATCATGTCTCCAGAATAATAAATCTCACTCTTTTATTTTAATCACTCAAGCATATGAAGATTCATTATTCAATAAATGGCTTCCTCTCTTATCTGTAATAAAGAGAGTAAGGAAAGAAGTAGATAATAACATCAATGGAAAACCTATGGTCTCAATTTGGCTACTGGATCCAAACTTCTCTTTAAGCAAGCCTATTAATATTATCAATATCACAAGAACAAAAACATGGTCTGAATTTTAGTGTTTTAAATCTCCTTTTCTTTCAGGTAGTGATGTTAATAAGCTGAGAAATATACAGGAGTGTCAATTTGTAAAGTCAACAACAGGAGTCACTGTGCACTTACTCCTCATGTAGGATCTCTGTCCTTAATGTGCTGTACATTGAGACTTACTGCTATAACGAGTACTCAAACAGTATATTTCACTTTGTGTTTCTATGTGGGTGCAAACTGTTGAATTCTTTACTTAATGTATACTAAACTGATCTTCTGTATATATAGAAAATTGAAAATGAATCTTGATATGAATGGAAGGGGAGAGAGAGCGGGAAAGGGGAGGGTTGCGGGTGGGAGGGAAGTCATGGGGGGGTGGGGGAAGCCAATGTAGTCCATAAGCTGTACTTTGGAAATCTATATTCATTAAATAAAAGTTAAAAAAAAAGTTAGAAATGGAATTAAAAGATTAACTGTATTCTGGTACAAAAAAATGTTTTGACATCCATGCATACAAGGGATCTTTAGAAAGTTTATAAAAATGAGTGTTATCAAAAAGCTGAATGGATTTCAGTAAATTTTTTGTTTCAAAATAAATTTGTCTTAAAAGTCAAAAAAAAAAAAAAAAAGTGGGCAGGAGGAAAGATGCAAAAATCCAAATTGGCTTTGGAAAAACTTCATCTCAGAGATGAGGAAGTTACAGCTCAGAGTCCATGACATGAAAAAGTTAATCAGGTATCAGTTCTTCTGAAACTTCTCCTGGCCAGATTAAATGCTGGGAAAAGTGTACAGCTAGGATTTATTATTTTACTGCAAATAAAACTCTCCTTCATGATAAAATTCTGTATATATCACTTACAAGTAGGTGAGTAAAAAGATAATTCTACTATAGGATTTGTACTACATATGGTGAACATTTCTTAATTATGTATTTAAATCTCTATAGGTAGGAAAACTGAAAGTAAGGTCAAATTCAGGTTTAAAATATTGAGTATCTATTATGAATCACATACTATTGCTGGAGGGACTTTCATTTTGTCCTACAATACTTGAGCAAAGCCTGCTTTTATGATTTTAGTCTGTGCATATATATTTATTGATTCATTCATTTTAATAAAAATTATGCAATACTGTAAGGTTAGGGGTTGTTTTATTGCATTTTAGAAAATAAAAAATTCCATTCTGACAGAATGAAAATCATACTGTGACCATATTTACCATACTTGTGAGTCAAAAACAAGTATTTTCTAATCTTTGTGACTAAGCTCACTGAGGCTTCACTCCTTATCAAAGAAGGTAAATTTTAGTGGCTCTAAGAGAATTACAAAATATAATAAATCTAAACTCAAGCTAACTCTAACTTTATGAACTCTTAGTGCTAAGATCACTTTATTTCAATAATCCGGCATTTATAACTTGCCAAACTCCTGACATAGAATGTAGATCCCAAATTACTCATTTGAAATGAAAACTATTCCAATTTATCCAAAGTTTATCTCTTTTCTAAATTTGGGGACTTTCTCATAGGAAAAGGAGACATGTACCTTTCCATGACAGCCAGGCACTCCTTTCTCCAGGTAAATCGACTCCCTCGTCGTAGTCGGAAAGTACCAGAAGTGGCAGAGACTGGGGGAGGAGTTTGTCTCCATTCAGGGTCCTCTATTGGAATGGGGGCTGGTCTCATACTGAGTGTAGCCCCTGAAATAAACAAGATACTTTTAGCAAATATCTTAAAATTTATTAAAACCAATATGATAAACATATCATGAAAACAAGAGCAATAAACTTTTGAGAATTTGTTCCTTCACTGAAACTTGCAAGCAAATATATTTGATATTACTTACACAAACACATACACCACACACACACACACACACACTCACACACACACACTTTGACAGAAACATAAATTTAGAGAGGCAGGGCCCACAGTGTGGTGTAGCTGGTAAAGCCACCTCTTGCAGTGCTGGCATCCCATTTGGGTGCCAGTTCAAGTCCTGGCTGCTCCACTTCCGATCCAGCTCTCTGATATGGCCTGGGAAAGCAGCAGAAGATGGCCCAAGTCCTTGGGGCCCTGCACTGACATGGGAGACCTGGAAGAAGCTTCAGGCTCCTGGCTTCAGATCAGCCCAGCTCCAGCCATTGTGACAATTTGGGGAGTAAAACAGCATGGAAGATATCTCCCGCCCCGCCCCCGCCTCTTTGTAACTCTGCCTTTCAAATAAAATAAATATTTTAAAAAATAATAAATAAATAAATCTAGAGAGGCAAAAAGTTTTCCTTGAAAAATCCATCATTAATTATTTTAAATTGTCACTTTTTCCTCCCAGTGAGTCATTTGTCTATTAACTTCTTTTATGGCATTTTCTAAAACAAAGCACAAAATCTACCCCCTTATTGGAATGGGAAAGTATGATCTTTGGCCCTGTGACAACTTATACAGGTTAGCTTACTCTGAAAAATCTCTTGTGAAATTTCTACTCTTTAGCATAATTTTTTGATCAATATACCCTAGATGTTCAGAATCTTTCACTAGTATTCAAAGTACTGGGAAATTCTTAAAGAATATACACAGGTAGGATATAAGCTTAGAATTACCCAAACTGCTGTAAACTCCTTTTAAAGTGTCTCTGCTCCAAAAAAAAAAAAAAAAAAAAAGAATCAGATACAACATCAAAGAAGATAAGGTATTTGATAATGCTTGTAGTTTACTAATAAATCAAGTCTCTATAGGTCTCCTGCCTGTTGAAACTATACTAAGTTATCTTACCTCTAAAGAAAAAAAAATCAATGAAAAAGCTATCATTGAGATATCTTAATAACTCAGAGTAGTCTTTCCTGAATAGTTGAACTGGTAATGACACATTTATTTGTTTATTCAGTCATCATTGATCAGATACCTTTCAGGTTGCTTGCTCTAGGATAGAGGTTAAGAACAAAACCAGGAAAGCAATATTGTCTCTGACCACTATGGATTTATTCCACAGAATTTAATGGAACTTGGAATGCATTCATGGAGTTCAGTTCCTTACTCATCCACTCTTGTCTCACTCTTTACACTGTTGAATTCATTTTCAGAAAGTATAATTATGATCACATCACTCCAGTCAAAAACCATCAAGAAGTCCCAACCATCAAGAAGTCCCCTCTGCCTTTTCAATTCCAACTTTTAAGACAGCCTGAGAAAGAAGTAGTTTATATTCTCTTACACTGATCCCCAATATTTTAACCAATCTTGATTTTCTTTTACAAACTTCTTGTTCTGCAGTTTTCCCATTACAGTAAAAAGATCCTCATTCTTCAAACTGCTCAGCTCAAAAAGCTCAATTCATGTTTGACTTCTCTATTTCTTCCATATATCACATACTGAATTCATAGGCAAATTCTATTGATTTTATCTTTATCTTTTTAAAGTTTATTTTTACTGATTTGAAAGGCAGACCATGTGCAAGAGAGCACGAGAGTAAGATTTCTTGTATCTGCTCGTCCACTAGCCAAATGTTTAGAACTGAGGCTGGAACTACATCTGGGTCTGCCAAGTGGATGTCTGAGACCCAACAACCTGAGCTATCATCTGCTGCTTCTCAGGGTGTGCATTAGCAGGAAGCTGGATTAGAATCAGAGGTGTGTGTGTTGGGGGCAGGGTGCAGTGTTGTGGCATAGCAGGTAAAGGCGCCACCTGCAATGTTGGCATTCCATATGGGCACCAGTTCATGTCCTGGCTGCTCCACATCCAATCCAGTTTCCTGCTAATGGCCTGGGAAAAGCAGTGAAAGATGGCCCAAGTAATTGGGGCCTCTGCCACCCATGTGGAAGATCTAGATAAAGCTCCTTGCTCTTGGCTTAAGCCTGGTCCAGTCCAGGCCATTGTGGCCATTTGGGGAGTGAACCCATGGATGGAAGATCTCTCTCTCTCTAACTCTTTCAAACAAATAAAACCTTAAAAAAAAAAAATAGCAGAGGTAGGACCTGAACTAGACATTGGGATATGGGATACAGGTATCCCAAGTAGTGACTTAATTTGATGTACCACAATGCCTACCCCTAATTTTATCTTTATAACATGTCCAGTATCACATCAAATTTTATTAGCTGTACTACTACCACCTTAAAACACATTCGCATCATCTCTCAAAATTGTGACTTCCTGGGATAAGTTCTAAAGGTGGCCCTTCACAGTACGTCTTAACCTCCTGGTAAGTTTGGCCTTAAATCGAGGCTAGAACTGTGACATGGTGTTAATGAAGAACACAGAAAATGTTTGAGATTAGATCACAAGAAACTTTGCAGCTTTTACAGCCTATGTCTCCTGGAATGCTGGCTCTGGGAATAGCCGGTTGCCACATAAGAAGTCTAACATGAGACCATGATAAAAGAAGCCCATATTAGGCACATGGGAAAAAAGATGCCCAGCCAGTTTGCAGGTGCTCCTGCCAACTCCACCCGGGTGCCAAACATTTGAAGGGAAAAAGTCATCTTGGACACTGCAGCCACAGGAGACCTCAAATCTCCAATCCCAAAATAGCCATGTGTCTGCCTTCAAGGAACTGAGGGATCCCCTGCTTCCTGGTATTCACACCTTTGTGTAGTTGCTTCCCATTATGTACCATGACTAATCTGTTTGACCAACAGCATGTGGTAGTGATGGTATGTCACTTCCAGGATTAAATTAGAGACACTGGGGCCAGCGCCGTGGCTCACTTGGTTAATCCTCCACCTGCGGCACCGACATCCCAAATGGGCGCTGGGTTCTAGTCCTGGTTGCTCCTCTTCCAGTCCAGCTCTCTGCTGTGGCCTGGGAGGGCAGTGGAGGATGGCCTGGGTGCTTGGGTGCCTGTACCCGTGTGGGAGACCAGGAGGGGGCACCTGGCTCCCGGCTTCGGATTGGCATAGTTTCGGCCGTAGCGGCCATTTGGGGGGTGAACCAACGGAGGGAAGACCTTTCTATCTCCCTCTCTCTCACTGCCTAACTCTGTCAAATAAATTAAATTTAAAAAAAATTAGAGGCACTGATTTATCTGTTTTGGTTGTTCCCCTTCTCTTGGTTCATTTGCTCAAAGTCAAACTAGCTGCCATGTACGGGGACACTTAGGCAGTAGAGGGTGAGAACCATATTATGAAGAACTGTTGTCCTTGGCCAACAGGCAGTAAGGAATGGCCTGCTAATATCCATGTGAATGACACTGCAAGTGGGCTGTATCCCACTAATTGCACCACTGGTTGACAGCTCAATGGCATCAGCTAAACCTCTGCTAGACTCCTGATCCACAGAAACATTCACTGTGTTAAGTTGCTAAATTGTGAGATTTACAACTATAGATAACTGATGCAAATTATCACAGCCATCTCCAGTGTTTATCTTACCATATCCCCTAGCACAATTTAGCAGCAAAAAATTTTGCTTTAATACCGAGATTTCACTGTCAGTAAGAATAAGTACTTTTTCACTTTATTGATCATTATATATCTTTTCTTGTGAATTCCTATCTTTCCCCCTTTTTCTTTTGGGTTATTCATCTTACTGGTATACAAAAACATCAACTGTTATATAGACTGCAATTATTTTTTCCAGTTAGTCATTTATCTTTTTTTTTAATAAATGTTAAGCCATTTTTTCAGGTGCTTAATTGCCATTCAACTTATCTTCTCAGTACACTCTTTTAGCCTTTTCTTTTCTTCAAGATCTATTTATTTGAAAGTCAGAGTCAGAGTTAGAGTTAGAGAGAGAGAGAGATTTTCCATTCACTGGTTCATTCCCACCACAACGGCCAGGGCTGGGCCAGGCCGAAGTCAGGAGCCAGGAGCTTCTTCTGGGTCTCCCACAGGGGTGCAAGGGCCCAAGTACTTGGACCATCCTCCACTGCTTTCCCAGGCACATTAGCAAGGAGCTGGATTGCAAGTGGAGCAGATGAGACTTGAACTGTTGCCCATATAGGATGACGTTGTCACAGACAGCAGCTTTACCTGCTATACCACAATGCCAGCACTGATCATTTATCTTTTTTTTGTGTGTGTGCATGTGTGTTTAAACCACAATACATTTTTGGTTTTAGCTGTAGCATCACTTCAGGTTAGCAAACAAACCTATAGTTTTTTTTTTGGACAGGCAGAGTGAACAGTGAGAGAGACAGAGAGAAAGGTCTTCCTTTTCCGTTGGTTGACCCCGCCAATGGCCGCTACGGCTGGTGCACCGCACTAATCCGAAGCTAGGAGCCAGGTGTTTCTCCTGGTCTCCCATGCGGGCGCAGGGCCCAAGAACTTGGGCCATCCTCCACTGCATTCCCGGGCCACAGCAGAGAACTGGACTGGAAGAGGAGCAACCGGGACAGAATCCGGCGCCCCGACCGGGACTAGAACCTGGGGTGCCGGCGTTGCAGGCTGAGGATTAGCCTAGTAAGCCGCAGCACCGGCCTAAAGTGTTTTTGATCCCTCATTTTTATGTAGTCAAATCTTTCTCTTTTTTTATTTGTTAAAGATTTTATTTATTTGAAAGTCAGAGTTACACAGAGAAAGGAGAGGCAGAGAGGTCTTCCATCTGATGGTTCACCCCCCCAATTGGCCACAATAGCCAGAGCTGCACCAATCCGAAACGAGGAGCCAGGAGCTTCCTCCGGGTCTCCTACACGGGTGCAGGGGCCCAAGGACTTGGACCATCTTCCACTGCTTTCCCAGGCCACAGCAGAGAACTGGATTGGAAG